CGTCGCCGACGGCAAGGGCGGCGGCGGCGGCAGGAGCGGGGATGAGGTTGGCCCTCGCGGTCCCTGCTCCTCGCTCCTCCCGCGTCCCTCCTCCTCCTCCTGCTCCCGCTCCCCCTGCTCCTCCTCCGCCCTCCTCATCCTGCTCCTTCCCTCCCTCCTCCTCACCTCCTCCTCCTCCTCCTCCGCCTCCTTCCTCCTCTCCCTCCTTTTCCCCGTTTTCCTCCTCCTCCTCCTCCTCCTCCTCCTCCTCCTCCTCCTCCTCCTCCTCCTCCTGGTGTGGTTTGTGGTCCAGTTTTGTACGGATTCTTGACGCTTCGCGTATCCCCACCAGGTTGCGTTTTATTACTGCAGGTGCGTTGTCTGTTGTAGCTAATTCGCCTCGCCTGCTGGCCCAGACGACGCCTACCGCTCCCTGTCCGCGGCCTCGGAGCCGCCGACCAAAAACACCGTATCCCCACCAGGTTTACGCTCTCGCCTCCTGGCTTTAATTCTTTGACCGACGGTCCTTCGGGCCACCCTGGTACTCACGCAGTTGTCCGGGGTTGCGTCCTTGCATTAATTTCGGCATCTGGCCGGGGTCGTCGTGTGTCCCGACTCCCTGGAGCTCCGACGCTTTGCATACTTGCGCGCTGGCAGTGCGACTCAGTTTCAGCTGCCCCCCCACTCGCTGGTCCGCCGTTGGGCTGCTGCGCGAGGGCTCGGTTAGCCGCTGTAGGTGTGGCCACCCTCCGTTGCTTTAGGTTGATTCGTCGCTGCGTGCCCCGCTTTGACTGGACTCGCCGCAGGCGCGCTCGCCCGCGGCCGCTGGCTAAATTGTATTCCCACCAGGCGTAGCGCGCTCTTGTGCGCTCTTGTGCGGAATTTAGTCCGCTGCTCGTTAGCCGCGTTTCTTGGCGGCGCCTGGCATTCCTGCGCGCTCGCAAGCGAAAAAGTATCCCCACCAGGCCATCCAGGGACGATGCCCAGGCGAGTTGCCTCTCGGAGTCTCCTTGGATGTCTCTTGGAGCGTTTTGGGGGCCTCTTGGCGGTCCCAGGGGCCTCTTGGAGCGTCTTGGGTGCCTCGGGGAGCATGCTTGGGCTTATTGGGGGTGTCTTGGAGCCTCCTAGGCGCCTCTTTGGGCCATCTTGGAAGAAATCGACCAAAGAACGGGAGGGTCGCAATTAGGGTTGCCCCTCGGGAACCCCAAAAATCACATCTTGGGGCGCTCTTGGGGCGCTCTTGGAGCGCTCTTGGGCGCTCTTGGAGCCGTCTTGGGGCTCTCTCGGGCCGGGTCTCTCTTGGCACCCTCTTGCGCCATCTTGGAGGCATCTTGAGGCCTCGGAAGGCTATCGAACGCGAGCGGGCAACGATGCAAAACACATGTTTTTTTCTTTAGGTGTTTGAAAGATTTGAGCTTCTTGGGGGCCTACTTGGAAGTTTCGGAGGCCTCTTGGAGCCGTCCTGGAGCGTTCCCGGGGCTTTTTGGAGCATCTTGGAAGCCATCTTGAGCCATCTTCGGCTATCTTGAGCCATCTTAGAGGTCATCTTGGGCTCGCGCAGGCGCTGTTGGAGCCGTTGTGGGCCATCCTGGACGCTCCAACTACCCGCGACCCCCCCCGTCCAGGTCCAGGGAAGGGAGTAGGGGCAGGGGTAAGCCCCTCCCCGAAGGGGAAGAAAAGGGTTGGACGAGGAAACCCCCTAGACCACCGACGCCCGGAGGGCTGGTGGGATTTTGGTCACGGGACCCTGGCGGACCACCAGCGGGGGGCCTCCTCGCGGCCGCGGCGGGACGCACCTTGGGAAAACTGGCCCGGCTGGACTTTGGGGCCCCGTGTTGGGCCTGGGGCCCGGTCTGGACCGGGAGGACCCAGGCAGCCCTCTGGCGAGTCATTTTTGGTCCGTGTTTTTTTTTCTCCGCAGTGTCGGCTTCCAGGGGGCGGCCTCGATGCCCTTGGAACATCAAGAACCATCGTGATGAAAGTACGTTCCGCTGAGGAGGGGGTCGAAAGAATTTGGGCCCCACGGGCTGGACAAAGTGCGACGTCGGAGGTCGGCTTTTGCGCGGGGTGCGGGCCAAACCGCGGGGTCTTCCAGGGGTTTTCTCGTTGGTCACGGGTAGAGGAGGGAGGAAGGAGGAGAGGAGGAAGGGGGAGGTAGGACAAGGAAGGGATGGTGGGAGAAAGAGGAGGTGGGAGGAAGGAGGAAGAGGAAGGGATGGAGGAGGAAGGAGGACGGGAGGAAGGGATGGAGGGAGGAAGGAAGGAAGAAGGAGGAGCGGGGGAGGACGGAGGAAAGATCAATGAGGGAGGACGGGAGGGGCCGCCCCCTGGGGTCCTTTTGGGGGCGCCATCCCCGCGACTGGCTACGGAGGAAGGGTGGGACGGAGGAGGTGGACGAGGAGGAGAAGGAGGAGGAGGAGGAGGAGGAGGAGTAGGAGGAGGAGGAGGAAGAGGAGGATCAGGAGGAGGGATGATCAGGAGGAGGCAGGCAGTTTTTGTTTGGGGGGAATGGGGGTGGACGATCCGGGGGGCTGTGTAGGGGGAGGAGGGGGAGGAGGGGGAGGAGGGGGAAATGAGGAGGGAGTGACGAGGGAGTTTTCTCCTCCCCCTTCCTCCTCCCTCTAGCTGCTATTGTTACTTCGCTGCCGCGCTCCCATCGGTGGTCCAGTCAACTTCCCGAGCACAATCCATGTGATGCGCAGGCACTCAGTCAACTCCCCCAGCCCAAGGAATAGTATGATCTTCAGGTTGCCTTTGCTACTGTTACTGTTACTGCTACTGCTACTGCTACTCCTACTGCCACTGCTACTGCTACTGCTATTGCTACTGCTACTATTGCTGCTACTACTGCTACTGCTACTGCTACTGCTACTGCTACTGCTACTACTACTACTACTACTGCTGCTGCTACTACTACTACTACTACTACTACCACTACCACTACCACAACCACTACTACTACTACTACTACTACTACTACTACTACTACTACTACTACTACGACTACTACTACTACTACTACTACTACTGCCAGTGCTACTGCTACTACTACTACTACTACTACTACTACTACTACAACTACTACTACTATTCCTACTATTACTACTACTACTACTACTACTACTACTACTACTACTACTACTAGTATTACTACGACGACAACTACGACGACTACGACTACGACTATGACTATACCACGGCGAGTACGACTTCGACTACGACTACGACTACGGCTACGGCGACGACGACGACGACGACGACGACGACGACGACGACGACTACTACTACTCCTACTAGTACTCCTGCTACTACTACAACTCGTACTGACTGTCGCTACTACTACTACTACTACTACTACTACTACTACTACTACTACCACTACCACTACTACTACTACTACTACTACTACTACTACTACTACTACTACTACTACTACTACTACTACTACTACTACTACTACTACTACTACTAGTACGACTACTCGTACTAGTACGAGTACTAGTATTACTCCTGCTACTACTGCTACTACTACTACTGCTATCACTACCACTGCTGCTGCTACTGCTACCGCTACTGCTATGGCTACTACTACTATTCTCACTACTACTACTACTTTTCTACTGCTACTGCGACTACTACTACTCTTACTACTACCACCAGTGCTACTACTACTACTACTACTACTACTACTGCTACTGCTACTACTACTACTACTACTACTACTACTACTACTACTACTACGACTCCTACTACTACTACCACTACTACTACTACTACTACTACTACTACTACTACTACTACTACTACTACTACTATTACTTCTACTACTACTACTACTGCTACGACGACTTCGATGAGGACGACGACGACTACTACTACTACTGCTTCTACTACTGCTACTGGTACCACTATTACGGCTACGGCCACTACGACGGCTACGGTGACGACGACGACGATTACTTTTACTGATACTGCTATTCTTGTTATTCGTATCCTCACTACTACTAGTATTACTACTACTGCTACAGCTACTCGAACTACTACTACTACTACTACTACTACTACTACTACTACTACTACTACTACTAGTACTACTACTACTACTACTACTACTACTACTACTACTATTACTACTACTACTACACCACTACGACTATTCCTATTACTGCTGCTACTACTGCTACTACCACCACCGCCACCACCACCACCGCCACTACTACTACTACTACTACTACTACTGCTACTACTACTACTACTACTACCACCACTACTACTATTTCTACGACGGCTACTGCTACTACTACTCCTACTACTACTACTGCTACCAATACTATTACTACTACTACTACTACTACTACTACTACTACTACTATTGCCACTACCACCTTCACCACGACCACTACTACTACTACTACTTCTGCTACTACTCCTACTTTTACTATTATTATTACTACTACTACTACTACTTTTTCTCTACCACTACTACTACTACTACTACTACTACTACTACTACTACTTTAATGACTACTACTACGACTACTTCTATTCCAGCAGCAACTACAACATCATTCACTATTACTACGACGGTTAATACCACTACTGTTACTACTACTGCTACCTACCACTACTACTACTACTACTACTACTACTACTACTACTACTACTACTACTACTACTACTACTACTACTACTACTACTACTACTACTACTACTACTACCAATCCGTAGCCGTTTTGGCTCTAGGCCATGCATTCCTAGCGGGTGCAAGTCACGAAGTGGCGCTGCGAGCACTCTGGGGGAGTGCTGGCGGGGCCAAAATCCTTTTCAACGATTCAGTGCGATCCAGTCAGTTGCCCCAGTCCTCGCGCGCTATGGCCAGCCATGGGCGCAACGGACCCGAGGGGGCAGGAGTGGTGCTCCGCGGGCCCAAGCTGCCGCTCTGGCTCTGCTCCTGTGGATGCCCATCCAACTGGGCAAGCAGGCTCAGGTGCAGAGGGTGCGACAGGCGGTGCTCCACCAAGGTTGAGGGCGCTGCCAGGAAGGCGCACAAGGATGCGTTCAAGGGCGGGCCCAAGCCGGGCAGCCACCCGCAGCCCCGCGGGGTCTGGGCGCGGCAGAAGCTGGCCCCGTGGGAGCATGACAAGCTCCAGCGCCAGGACAGCGAGCTGGCCGCCCTTCGGCAGCAGGTCGAGGCGCTCAAGGCGGACAGCGCCAAGGCCAAGCTCACAGCCCTCAGTGACCTCAAGGAGGAGCTCCAGAAGCTCGGGGGAGGCGAGCAGGCCACGAGCTGCGTCAAAGCTGTGGAGGCCAAGTACTCAGAGCCGCCCAAGCCCAAGAGCCTTCCAGCCCTCGAAGGGCAACGCAGGAAGCTCGAGGGGCAGCTCCAGAAGGCGCTCGGCAAGGTCGCAGAGCTCGAGGACCAGAGCGTGCCAAGCTCGACCTGCGGATCGGCGAGGCCAAAGACTCGGTCGCTGAGCTCAAGGGCAAGCTGCAGGCGGCCGACGCCGAGATCGAGTCCCGCCACGCCGCAGGCGTCCTCGGCGACGGGCTCAGGGGCTTGGCCAAGGTCCTCGAGCAGTTCAAGGCTACGGCAGTGGAGAACCAGGCAGTACTCCACGGACTCATCCAGTTGCAGGACGTCGTCAAGAAGGATCAGGAGTCTCTGGATGCTGCCGACGAAGCTGCACTTGATGCTGGTGCTGCTGGCGGCGGCGATGGGGATAGCCACGAGGATGTCCCTTGCAATGCTGAGCCAGGAGGAGAGTCCGTACCCGTCCCCGACGAGCTGGTCGACAGTCTCATGGAGGACGCCCCTGAAGGCGAGAGTCACGAGCAGCGGCGCAAGCGCATCAGCGACCTCATCGGGACACAATTCAAGAGGCCTCGGGTTTGATAGCCTGTGGCTCTACACGGTCAATGCGAACACCGAGAAGGGTTATCGGGATTTCCTCGACTGGCTTGACGGCCTGCACAGTCTCGGCGTGGCAGGGCCGACGAGGCGGCCAGCTGCAGATATCACCTTCGTGCAGGAGACGCGGGTGCGAGAAGGCGGCAGAGAGGCAGTCCAGCGGTGGCATCGCAAACGTGGCTTCGACTTTGACCTGGCTGCAGGGCTCAGCACGGGTGAAGGGCCACTGTCTGTCTCAGGCGGGGTGGGCATCGGTGTGCGGCAGCGGCTTGCGGTCGTCGCGATCGACACCGAGTTCAGGCAGCCCCACCGCGTACTCAGACGGGTGGTCAACATTGGCGACGGGCTCGCCATCGATCTCATGTCGGTCTACCTTCGCGGCGGCGAGGGCATGAGCGAGGCCAACGCGGACGTCCTATGGGACGTAGCGTCGCAGCTCAGAGTGGCGGCTCGGCCGTGGATTCTAGCTGGTGGCTTCAACATGGACCCCCTTCCAGATCGCGGCGTGGGCGGCTACGGCTGGGGGACTCGTGCTACATGCAGGTGCGGCGACCTGCAGGGCGGGGGCGCTCAGTGAGCTGGACTACGAGATCATCTCCGACGAGCTCCAGCACTTCGTGTTCAGCCATGGGCCAGTGGTCGAAGCCCCGATCGGGCCGCACAGCCCCGTCCTGTTGGAAATTCGAGGGCTGCATGCGGACGCCGCGGTGCAGCAGCTACACCGCACAGCGCGGCTGCCGTTTGATCGGGCCATCGGCTGCACTCCCTGGGTCCCGCTGCCTGCCTGGACCTGGGAAGAGGGTGCGGTCCCCTCTAGCCCGAGGGCTGCCATGCAGGAGTGGATCAGGCATGCCGAGGGCTACCTTCTCCCGCTCTACGACCTGTACGGCGACGATGCTCAGAAGTTCGCAGGCAGGGCGGACGGAGTGCGCCTCGTCAACGTCTCGATCGCCGACGCCAGCCGTCGCCGCTGGGCGCAGCTCAGCTCGCAGGAAACCCACGCCTGGGGCGGTCTTGTCAGCCTGCTGCAGCGGGCCGACCTGCTGGCGGCGCGAGGGAAGGACGCCCAGGGCCTGGCCAGCCTGGACAGCCGCCTGAATGCGATGCGCCTGGGCGGCAACGACGGCAGCTGTGGCCCTGTGCCCAGGGGGAAGCTGGGCGCCGCAGCTACCTCCAGCGACGCAACATTGAGGAGGAGGCTCATCGAGCACGCCAGGGCTCAGCACCAGGCCAGCCAGAGCAGCGACGCTGCAGCAGCCAGGAAGCAGTGGCAGGCCTGGGCCAAGGGCGCGGCCACAGGCGGGGGGAAGCTGGCCCATCGGTTCTCCAAGCCCGAGCCGCTGGCCAAGGCGACCCTCGTCACGGCTGACGAGGACGAGGGCGACGCGCTTCCCGTCAACGGCGGCGAGGCAGTGCAGCACTGCCTCAAGGAGTGGCCCCCGCTCTGGCTCGACCCTCGACGGCGAGGAGGGCTCGAGGAGGCGGCCAGCTGGGAGGCAACCGAGCCGCTGCCGCACCTTGAGGTGGACAGCCTCAGGTACCTGCTGAAGCGGTACGGGAGGTGGGCTGGCCTGGGATGGGACCAGCGGACCAGCTCCACCCGAGGCAGCTGCTCCGCTTGGACGAGTCCTTCCTTGTCAGGCTCCTCGAGGTACTGGCCAGCTGGGAGGACGCGCCCGAGGCCCACCTGGACTGGCCCCCGGTCATCGTCTTCCGCGCCAAGGCCGACGGTGGCAGGAGGCCAATTGCGCTCACCTGCCTGCAGATTCGGCTCTGGTCGGCCATGCGAGGGCCCATCGTCAGGGAATGGGAGGCGAAGCGCCATGAGGCATGGTACATCGGAGGCGAGCTCAACGCGTGCGAGAGGGCTGGCTGGGTACACCAGGCCCTAACAGCCCTGGCCTACGAGAAGGGCCTCAGCACGGGCACGGCCCTGGGCGACCTGCGGAGGTTCTACGAGAACATCAGCCACAAGGAGCTCTTGGTGGAGGCGAACTCTACGGGCTCCCCAGTCAAGCTCCGCAGGGCCTGCTGCGTCACGTACTCGGGCTACAGGGTCATCGCGGTGGACGGGGCCTGCAGCGCGCCCTTTCGGGCTACGGGCACGGTGCTCGCAGGCTGTTCATGCGCTACGGGCATTGCCAAGCTCCTCCTCTTCAGGTCCTTCAAGAAGGTCGCGGCCTTCTACCCCAGCGTGCGGCTGGGCAGCGTCGTCGACGACTTCACGCTCCAGACGGTCGGCACCACGGGCATGGTGAAGGCTGTGCTCGGACCCGCCATGCGCATGCTGTTGGGCTGCTTTGGCGAGAAGAGGGTGCCCGTCCACTTCGGGAAGCTTTGCTGTCTCACACCCGACGCAGAGGTTGCGAGACAGCTGGAGTCGGAGTGGCCCGCCGAGGACGGCAGGGCGCAGCGTGGCAGGCTGCTGGGGAACGACGTGCACGACGGGCGCTGGAGGCGCACAGCCATCGGGGCGCAGCGCGTTGAGGATGCGCTGGCCAGGTCTCGGCGGCTGCAGATACTGAGGACGGCTGGCGCTAAGGTCGCCACGGTGCAGAGGGGCGGCCCCGCGGCAGCCGCCACCTGGGGCTCAGCCACGACTGGCCTCGCCCCCTCGGTCCTACATGGGCTACGTGTGGCTGCAGCGCGCGGTGAAGGGCCATTTGTGCAGGTGCTTCAGTCGGCCTGAGGCTGAGGTGCTTCCCCAAAGGCATCGAGAGGGACCCCGCGGTGGTGAACGCGGGCCAGGTCGTGCTGCAGTTCGGCATGGCGCTCTGGCAGGGCTACCCCACCCCGTTCGCCCTCAGCACGCTGCTGGAGAAGGCCAAGCAGCGGCTCGTGTCGGCGAAGCGGCCATGGGCAACCTGCAGGGACCCCGTGGCAGCCTTTCTCCTCACCATCAACAGGCTCGGCTGGTCCATCGAGGGCTGCAGGTATGTCACCACGGACCAGGGGTTAGAGGTCGACCTCGCCAGGGTCTCGCCGTCCTTCAGCAAGGAGCTCGCAGAGGGCGCGGCCAAGAGGTGGTCGGACCGCGACGCCACCTTCAGGCTCTACCCCCACCAGAGCTCGGAGCTTTTCTGGGGCTCGCTGCAGCGTCTGGGCAGGACCAAGGAGTCGCTCGGCTGGCAGCAGCACCAGCGGGCGGCACTCCACTCAGTCATTTCAGGCACGGTCCTTTCCCAGTCGCGGCTCTACAAGAGAGGCATGGCCTCAGAGTGGGAATGCCTCATATGCAGGAGCGCTCCTGGCACAATCTGGCACAGGCTGTACGGCTGCGATGGCCACGCGGCCTATCGCAAGGACGAGGCCTCGCCCGAGCTCCTTCGGCACGCGGAGGTGGCACGGGCTGCAGGAGGCAACTGTGGCGAGATGTTCGGCAGGTGCCTCTTCCCGTCGCTCGACCACGTGATCCGGAGGCGAGACCCCGATGGAGACCCAGTTCGGTGGTTCCAGCGACCAGCCTCGGGGTATCTCACAGGCCTCATCTTCACCGACGGCAGCGCGGTCGGCACGCGGTGGCCAGAGCTGCAGCGCGCGGGCTGGTCGCTCGTGCAGTGCGACGGGCATGGGCGCATGGTCGCTGCAGCATGGGGTTGGGTGCCCCTCTCCATGGCGCCGCGGCAGGGAGCGCGGGACGGCGAGGACTACGCCTACCACATGGCGGCGTTTCTTTGCGAGGGCCACATCGACTTCCAGACGGACTGCTCAGGGACGGTGGCCTGCGCCCTGCGGGGGGCAGCATGGGCATGCCGCCCTGGGTCCCCGAGGGCCCACATGTGGAACGCGTTCTACGCCTCCTTCGACAGCTCACGGAGCTACACTGACACCAAGGTGCTGGCCCACGCCACAGCTGCCGACGTGGAGGCTGATCGCACGACCTGGTGGCAGCGAGCAGGCAACAAGCTCGCCGACGAGGCAGCGAAGGAGGGCGCTAAGCTGGCGCTGGCAGACGACCAGCTGGACTTCGCCTACGGCCTCGATCTCATCGCCAGACAGGCGATGGTCTTCACGGGCAAGCTCCACGCGCGCATGGCGGATCGGAAGCAGATCGACCACGCCAGCGACGTCATCCTGGAGCTCGCTGAGCACGAGGAGAGCTACGAGGAGCCCGAGGCCAGTGGTGGCCACGCTGCCGAGGCCTCCTGGGTGGCTGCAGGAGCAGCGGTGGTGGCCCTCGCAGCGGCGCGAGCCTCGGCGGAGGGCGATGAGCCCCCTGCGGCCCGTCGACCACGCACGCCTTGGTCGATCGGAGGCCACGCCATCGTCGAGAGGGCCATCACTGTGCCTGGCACGGACGGCTCCACCATGGTCCACTGCGTGAAGTGCTACGCCTATGCCCACCAGCGCATGATGGGCATCCTGAGGCCGTGCGGCTCGGGGGCAGGACGTGAGCCACAGACGGATAGGATTCGCATAGGGCTCTTCCCTAGCGTGAAGGGCGGCCGTGGTGCATGGCGCCTCGGGGAGCAGCGCTTTCCCTCCGAGGCCTGGCAAGTGAAATTCGGCCAGAGGCTCGGGCCCCCCGCCGCCCCCGAGGCCAGCAGGGCCACGGGCAGTGGGCAGCTGG